CCACCTGGATTCAGTAAAAAAGAAAATAAATACTGTTTTTCTTATTTTTTTAGTTTTTTTTGTTCATCAAGTGATTTACACATTTGGTGTTAGCTGCAGCACTTGGCTCCCTATATGAATGACATTTTGAAAATAAAAGTAACATTTAGCAATCACAAGAGCTTCACTCATGTTAGTATGACATCGAATCCACTAAATAGGCAATTACAATATAAGAAAAAATCAGGAATAAATAAATGATACTTCTTAAATCCTTTAATGCAGTGATGTTTGTTTTTTTACTGTGACACTGTGACTTGAATGAAGCACTTCTTAGGATTAGCAACTGAAATAGTTGAAATTTAAGCTGTACTCTAATTCTTTTTTGCTACTTTCCCTTACCATGACTAGCTAAGAATGGTAAAAAAATGTTTTTCTTTGTTTGTCTTTTATAAGTTCTGACTCAGTGGCAGGCAAGTACTACTTCTGGGCCTGATGCAAAGCCTAGTGAAGTCAACTGGAATGTTTCCAATTACTTAATTAGACTTTGGACTGGGTCTGAAGTGCAGCAATTTACTCAACTCTGGACCATAAATTACAGACATAAAACCCAAATTATTTGTGTGTTGCTGGATTACTGACAGCAAAATGTATGATGTCAGAAAAATAATAGGCAGAGATAGCCTGCACAAGTTGGAAAAGCTTAAAATACAGTCAAAGACAAGGAAATGCTCTTTGGCAGGAATAGAGACAGTCTCAGTTCCAGTGCCAATGGAGGAAAGTTGAGTAATTTGACAGAAAATTATGTGATTAATCTGTAGGAGAAGACACTACGTGTCTCAGTCACCACTCTGCCGCCTGATCATTGGACTAATACCTATCACAGCAAGAAGAGCTCTGAACCTACAACTTCCAATAGAAACCCCTTTGGAAATGCTAAGAATTCCAGTGGCCTAAACTACAAGCAGAAGTGAACAATGTTAGCCAAACAAATCCGCTGAGTTTGTTGCCAGAATATGATAATGTTGACAGGAACTGAATGTGAATGTTACTTTACAAGAAGTCAAGCAATCTCCCCCTGAAATATAACATTTCATTACAGAGAAACATCTCCCAAATGTTGCTCTTCCAAAATTTCATACTCTTTGTCTTTATGGGTAAGGAGTAATACAATGAGCTAGGTAATTGTTTTGGTCAAAACTTACTTAATTTCCCCTAATTTGAAAACCTCAGAATGCCAACATCTTACCTGAGTTACCCCAGAGAAACTAACTAAAATATTTGATTATTTGGTTGAACCAACTGTTCCCAGGTGAGTATTTTATTTCAGCATACAAGAATTTAATCATTGAAGAGTTATTCTACTTTGTAAAAAGAGTTGTTACTTTGGGATAAACTTTTTTTTTTGCTTTTGTTTTTGTTGTTGTTATTGGGTTTTTTGTTTGTTTGTGTTTTGTTTTTTTTGTTTGTTTTTGTTTGTTTTGGGGTTTTGTTTGGTTTTGTGGTTTTTTGTTTGTTTTTTTGGGGTGTTTTGTTTTGTTTTGTTTTGTTTTGCTTTGGAAGAGCCTCTCCAAGCAAGAGCTGTTATCCTGGAAGAGCTGATTATGCAACAGTTATGTCAATCCACTTGCTTGGTATACATATCTTTAGCTTCACCTTATTAGCAAATCGGGAAAAATTTTTAGTTAGAGAAGTATTTACATAAAATAGTCTGTATTTTAAGAAAGCTAAATATGAAATCGGGATTTAATGTGGGTAAAATACCTTTACATCAGTAGGTAATATTACACTGTAAGCCACAAAACTGAAAGACACACATATTTTGTTTATGAAGTTCATATGTAAAATAAAACATTATTTAAAAAAAGATATGAAGATGCAAGTTCAACTCAAAAATTAGGCATGTCTTTTCAGTTAACATCTTTTAACTCACATAAATTTATATGTACAATTTATTTATGCAGTATAATTTCCTTACTTAGGTAATGTTTTGCTATTAGAAGCAATCTCCCTCTGCCAAAACCAAACAAACCCCCCTGTGGATAAGTAATAAAAAAAGTTTTAGCATCCTCTTTCTATTTAACTTTCTCTGTATTTTGACTCCCTTTGTTTTCACAAATGTTAGAATCGTAGAATCATAGAATCAGAGGGGTTGGAAAGGACCTCTGAGATCATCAAGTCCAACCCTTGATCCACTACCACTGTGGTTACTAGATCATGGCACTGAGTGTTACATCCAGTCTCATCTTAAAAACCTCCAGGGACGGAGAATCCACCACTTCCCTGGTCAGGCCACTCCAATGCCTGATTCCCCTCTCTGTAAAGAATTTCTTCCTAATATCAACCTAAACCTCCCCTGGCAGAGCTTAAGACCATGTCCTCTTGTCTTACTGAGAGTTGCCTGGGAGAAGAGACCAACCCCCGCCTGGCTACAACCTCCTTTTAGGGAGTTGTAGACAGTGATGAGGTCTCCCTTGAGCCTTCTCTTCTCCAGACCAAACAACCCCAGCTCCCTCAGCCTCACCATAGGACTGGTGTTCAAGTCCCTTCACCAGCCTGGTTGCTCTTCTCTGCTCTTCTGTGCTCTTTCCCAATTGAAACAGGGATGGGCAGATAAAGTGGATAGACAAATGGAAAATAAACCTCACTGGGCTTTTTTTCTATTATTACTCCAGATGACACAGTAACAAACACAGATAAGGTACTGGACAAACAAACCTCACCTCAGATCACACCCGTGCCTTAAAGTGTGGCCATTTTTTACCACTCTATCAGCCTAAGTAGAGTTTCTCCTCACAAACCTTTCCTCACTGTCTCAAATTGTCACGGTCGTCACAACATAATGGAACAAAAAGACTGTGAAAGGGAAAATCATGGAGAGAAGAAACTCTTAGAATAATATTGGAAAGAAAAATTTTGAGTAACTCGAAATGCTTGTCTTTTAAAAATCTTTATACAAGAAAAGATGCTTTGAGAGAAGTCTTTCCCTTTCTTTTTGTATTGTTTTTTTTAGGCAGAAACTGTTGTATTTTTCTTAGTAGGCATCTGTTTTCTTCTGGGCAGATCAAAACAACCTCACCTCACACACTTGCTTTGGTCCAGTGAAACATGTGCTCAACTTTTTGTTCATATCCTCTGTGTGAGTTAAAATCAACAGATAAAACACTATTTGATGCAAACTCCTTTGTTTAGCATTATAATAACGATTTCGGTAGGATTCCCAGGCAGGATTTTTACAGCCATTTTCCCACATAAGATGGGCAATTAGACAGTATGAAAAGTGACTTTCGGTTCTCAAAGCTTCATCTCATTTGGGAGCCAATATGAGTTAGCAGCTAGTCTGGTGTAAAAGACAAGGAGCCAGAAGAGTTTAACGTTTCCGGGACGGCTGGATTACCTTGGGCTACTCACTTAATGGTCTTTACTGAAACCACCTGTAATACTGGGTGAAAACATCCCCCACTCCAAAAAAAAACCCCACTCCGGTCTCATTGAGAAACAGATGCTTAAGTCTGGTTCTCTTCTCTAAAGTAAATAAATGACAAAAAAGGGCAAGACAAATATGGCACGAAAACAAGACATTCCTTTAGGAGCTTTACAAGTCAAACTGAGATATAGCTGCAATGAAAGCCCACTCAGCAGCAATAATGCATATCCTTGAGCTAAAAGCCAGCACGAAATACGCTCTGATGTCTGCTTGATTATTAAATGCTTACTTTGAAAACTTCACTTATATCGCTAGAACCTCACTGACTTCAGGAAAAAACAGTGGGAATCCGTGGAGTAGCATCCAGTGAAGCAAAGTCTGAACTTCATGCAAATAAAAAAAACCAAACACTTTTAAGTCAAGGAATAGGCACTGCATTCTTTTTTGACACATGTGCTTACTTGAAAGCACTGGGCATTTTTATGGTACTCAATCAAAGAGAAAACAGTTGTCATAGCCATTGTTTTAATGTGGACACTAGCTCAGAAAAAAGCAATGCTATTACCATATAAAGAGTGCAGCAAATGGAAAATTAATCTGCCAGTTAAGGCACAAGAATAGAGATCAGGAACCCACCCAGGTTCCATTTCCAGATATATCGGACACTTCCTGGATGATCCACTTACCTATCATCAAATTTTGATGTTCCAGTTTCCTCAGCTACAAAATGGACAGAGCAGCATTTGTTAAAGAAGCTCTGTGCTTTGAGACTGACATGAAAAAAAGGCTTAAAAGGTCTGCACTTAAGGAGGAACTGCACATTGTTAACTGTGGCAGCCTCACTCAATTCTTCTCCTTTTCTATTAATGCATCATTCAGTTAATTTGGCATATCATCACCAACATTCTAGGAACACAATGGCACTTTCAGCAAAGCAGTGTGCTATCAAGTTATAATTCTTTTCATAATCTTAATCACAACTAAATCCTGCAGTTCTGTCACTTCACGCATCAGCAATGGAACTCGACCTTGCCACAGCACAGGGAGCCACTAATGTATCACCTCAGCATACAAAGAGCCTCTCATGGCATCAAGCCAACAAAACAGTGCATTTCTATGCCTGTACAAAGCTGGCAGGAGCAGAACAGATGCGAGAACAACCTGACAATCCCCTGCTGCTTTATTTGCACCTCAGGGTTGTTGTAGTACAATGGCTGGGGTAGGATCGAGGTCAGAAAATTTGACATTACTCAGTCCCCTGCTCTTGGAGCGCCTTTTTTTTTTTTTTTCCCCAGTCGAAAATTCCTTTTTCTGTTGTGTTATGTTGTTTGTTTTGTTTGGTTTGGGGTTTTTTATGGTGGGGGACAGAATGCATGGAATGTACCGTCTGCGTTCCTCTAACGAGACACCAGTTCCAAGCCCCTGCTGTTCCCTCATCTCACGCTCGAACACGTCAGAAAAGCCAAACCCCAAAATGCCCGGGGAGCTACTGTCATCTAACGACCAACAAGCTGAACTACAACACAGGGCCACCGGCCTTACCAGCGTGAGGAAAATCCCTACCCCCAAATGCCACAGATTTTCATTTGTTCTCGGGCTGAGAACAGCTCAGGCACCAGAAGGCTAGAGCTGGAACGGCAAAAAAAAAGGATAAAAAGTTTTTATTACTCAGGAAGAATGTCTCATACAAAATCCATCTCTTCGTGGTTTCTTTTTCCTTTACCACTAGGGGTTTTTTATATGACTTATCCTGATTTTATTTATGAATATCATTTAATTGCACCTGCACTTACTTTAAACAAAGCTGAAAATACTACAAACTACTGCTCATTCCAAAACACGTCAAAGAACAAATATTCTGCAGCAATATTAGAGATTTATGTATTTGAATGATATTTTTTCCAGCTTTGATAAAAGACAGGCTCCTCCATCCATAGTTAGACTTCTTATACATGAAGAAAAGTACCTGGTTTCTAGAAGATCCTGACTTCGTGCTTGATTTTAAATGTAAGGAAAAAAAATCGTTCCTCCCTGGTGACTTCTCTAGGTCTCTAAAATATAATAACAATAAAACAAATCAGATTGGTTGATTTAAAATTTAATTTTAAACATATTTGCTTTGCAAAACAAATCAATAATACTACAAAAGTAGTAATGTTAAGCAGTATGGACTTTCTGTTCAAGCTGCTGAAGGATTAATCTCGGTTTGCTGAAGTGTGGAACCATTTTTTGGCAAGTATCTTTTTCTGCAAGCAAGGTGGCAGTATTTCCTTCATTTCTGTTTATTTAGCCAGCTCACTTAAATGAATTATCCCAGCTGAATTTTTTTTTCATTATTTTCATCCATAAATAAAATAAGAGCTGGAGATGACAAGATGATCTCTACTAGTTCTACACATTTGAAAGACTGAGTGTTCAAATCAATTAAACTATATTCCTACAAGTTTAAACATAATCTTTCTCAGTGCAAAGCATACTTAGACAACCTTCTTAAGAATAAGGTACAAATACATTTATGATAATCTTATTTAACTAAAAGCAACTACAAAGAGATTTTTTTCCCTCATTGTTTTCTTTCAATTCCTATATTTTTCCACTAGGAGTCTCATGTGAATCACAAATAGAGGTGCAAGAATTACTTAGCAAAAAAAGAAACGAAACAGACCTCATCTTCCAAAATAGTGAAATGTGTATAAAAATTAAGAATTGATATAAATGTTATGTTAAAGTCTGAAATGTCTTAGATGTATGCTGCTATAACATGCTCTCTTTGTTAGCAAAAAGAAATGCTAGGTTATGAATAAAGATTATAGTCAGCACATTTTAGTGGTTACCAATCAGTGAAAAATCAGTCTTTGAGAAACAATACAACTATAATTCAGGATTATAAACAATCATTTAAATCAAAGTTTTCTGTTCACTGATTTGATTTATTTTCATGACTGATTTAGACCACTGCTTTAATATATGCTACTCATGTTTACTCATTCTGAGCTACAGGAAATATTTTTTTTTCGGCAAATCCTGCTGCCAGACTCCTTGCTTTTTCCAGCTGCAGTCTCACATTTACTTCTGTAAACAGGATTATGGCATTGCTCCTTTGGACATGTGGGAAGCTTCTGGCCGCCTGTCACAAGAGCCGTCCCTGTAGCCCCGCTCTGCCAAAACCTTGTCACACAAACCCGGTTCAAGGCCATGGTAGTATAAAGAAATTGTGAAAAGAGTACTTTTTCGGTACAATGGAACTAACTGTTTACATTACCTGCAGTCATATCCTCCAATTCAAACCCAGTTACTCATTTTTTATCTTTATACCACTAAAGGCATTCTTTTAAATGGATATGGCTCTGCCATCTTCCTCTCTCTTTTTTTTTTTTTTTTTTTTTTCCCCTCAGGGCCTACTTTTATATCACGGAGCACTCCAGACCCCTCATCTCACTTCATGGCTATATTAGAATCCATTAATGCATATATTGTTTCTCTGCATGTATACCAACTACCTCACAAACTTCTCCCTGTGGTCTGCTGCTCTCTTCTAATCATCAAAACCTCAGGTAACAAATCTGGGTTTGAATTCACTAAAGGTTAGATAGACTTACATCTTCCCACTTTGCAGTCAAAACTTAAGAGTCAATGGCATTATAAATATAAACTCATAAAGACAAACTCCAAATTTATCTTCAGTGTTAAGACTACCACTTTCAGCTTAGTTTGCACCAAATAAAATAAAAATGTTTGCTTATGATGTTTGTTTATGGTGTCTGCTTATCTGTTGGTTTCTACTACTCCCTCTCATACATGTTTGGAATCAATCTACTGATTGTGAACAAATATGAAAGAGGAACAGAAGTCTCTGAGATGATAAAATTCTCTAAGTATCATGGAATGAAGTTCAACAAGGCCAAGTGCCGGGTCCTGCACTTTGGCCACAACAACCCCCTGCAGCGCTCCAGGCTGGGCACAGAGTGGCTGGAGAGCAGCCAGGCAGAAAGGGACCTGGGGGTGCTGATCGACAGGAGGCTGAACATGAGCCAGCAGTGTGCCCAGGTGGCCAAGAAGGCCAATGGCATCCTGGCCTGCATCAAGAACAGTGTGGCAGCAGGAGCAGGGAAGTGATCCTTCCCCTGTACTCAGCACTGGTGAGGCCACACCTTGAGTATTGTGTTCAGCTCTGGGC